CGGCTCCCCACCCCTCCCGTCTCATTGGCTTGGCGGAAGACTCCGAGCCTTATATATGCAGTACACACCTCTCGCTCCCGGCTTGTCTATGGAGAGCCGGAGCGTGGCGGCAATTATTACCCGGGCATCCGTAGTTCAGGATCGCTGCGGGAAATAATCCCTTTCGTGTCCCAGCGGGAGAGTCGCGGAAAGCTTTCCACATCGGATTTTTTACCTGCCATTTAACCCGATCCTAACCAGCTGAGGTCCCCTCGAAGAGATCGATCTGCTCGCAGCCACGTGCCTTCGTCAGCGTTCCAGCAGATCCCTTCATTCCTCCATCTCGAGGAATATCTGTAGCAGCCCCACTAGGGATCGCCGCCCCTCCCCTTGTGACCTGTGCGACCGCATCAGCCCCTTTGCTTCCCCTATCTCCAGGCGAGATTTCCTTCATTGGAAAGGTAAAATCTACCTGCAGCCAGGTCGATCCATCAGGAGCACCTGGACAAGTCAGGTTATATCGAGTTTAGATCCGTGTGCCGGAGAAAAGTGACTTTCCCGATCGTTTCCCGTGCTGCCTGCAGAAGGGTCTCCTTTCGCCCTGCCGGCGCCCGCGGAACTCCGCGCCACTTGAGGCTAGTCCGCGCATCTACTCCGCCCCCGCTGGCTTGCAAATCCTCGCTCCTCAGCCAGCTGCGAGCCCTCTTTTCTCCTCGCAGCCGCCCGATCTTCCAATCCCCGGAGTCATCATGAGCGCCCCTCTCAAGCGCGCCCCTCTGCTCAGCTCGCTCCTCAAGAAGCGAGGCCCCGGGAGCGCGCCCGCGCATCAGCAGCAGCTACTGCCCACCTCCTCGGTGTGCGCCTTGGAGTCGAAGGCGGAGATGCCTTCCGTGTCCCCTGGGCCACCTCGTCCGCACTCGCTCTCCGCCATGCCCGGCCCCATCAAGTGGCCTCTGATGGGCAGCCTGCTGGACATCCTCTGGAAAGGCGGCCTCAAGCGACAGCACGAGACTTTGGTAAGAAACCTCCCGGATCGGTTCCTTTCAGCCCTTCAAAGCCCAGTCTGACGACAAAGCCAGCCCAAAGGCAGAGCTTGGGAAAGTGCTTCCCTTTTATATTTGGATTACAAAGCCCAGAATCCCCAGCCAGCCTATAATTTCTGGGAATTGTAGGACAAAACAAAAAGGAATCTCCCTACCTCGTTTAGCTCCATCCCAAATACCCCCCCCCACTGCATGGATCAGTCTGGCTTCACATTATATCAGCTGCATATATTCATGGGACTGAATTAGGACAATAGGAAGGGACAGCCATGATCATCTAGTCTGTCCCTCTTCCAGGTGGCCACACAGCCCCTGTTGAACAACCTCTAACCAAGGTGAGCCCATCACTTTCCAAAAATGGATTTTTTTTCCATGACTGAATGGTCTTCCTATTTGGTCAAAAATGGTCCCTCCCTATATGTACCTGCCCAAGAACTGTCGTCTGCAGTTTGTGCCCTGTCAGTGTCAGTAGCATCTTGGTGGAGATGGAAGAGGAGTCCTTTTTTGCTCTGGCACCCCAATGGTAGAGTGTGGAGGCCCAACTGATGCCAACATGGATTTCAGCTCATTGCTAAGCCAAAATGTAGGCATTCCTTAAAGTCTTTGAGGTTTAGGATCTTGGCTTTGGGGTCCCTTCCAGAGTCTGCAGGGGTCATACAAGTGCAAAAATCTGCAATTAAGGGGGTCCTTTAGCATTCTTTAACTTTGTGGGGGAAAAAAACCCTGGCAGAGGGACTGGGATCTCTCGGATTCTGATTCAGACAAAAGGTAAGAAATCAGCAGCACAGGTTTCTGGTTTGCCTCCTTATCCTCTCCTTGTACCTCCTTCTGCAGGCAGACTACCATCGCAAGTTTGGCAAGATCTTCCGCATGAAGTTAGGTGCTTTTGACTCGGTACACATCGGTGCCCCTTGCTTGCTGGAAGCACTCTACAGGAAGGAGAGTGCTTACCCACAGCGTCTTGAGATTAAGCCCTGGAAAGCCTACCGGGACTACCGTAAAGAGGGTTACGGGCTACTTATCCTGTGAGTAAGGATAAGATGGATATGCAGCTGTGTATGGGGGGGGGCGGAATTCATGGGTGCTGAACTGTCTCATGCTGCACCATAAGCATTGCAAAACTCTAGTTAGATCAGTCTGCCAATGCATTTCAAACAAGACTAAGAGAGGGATCTGAAGTCCCCATCCTTATGATTTGCTGGGAAAATGTGCCATTCTGGAGGGTCAATGAGGGGCCCCTGAAGATTTTCTGCTGTTTTTACTCCTGACCTTTAGAAACAAGACTCTTTCTGCTGCTGTTTATACCCTAGTTAAAGTGGGGTTGCAAATCAATGGCATTGCATAGGACTTATTGGAGCCTTTCCTTCCATGCCATTTTCCTGCTTTGGTTCTAAGTGGGAAAAGGTTCTAAGAGGAAAAACTGCAGGTACAACAGGAAGGAGACATTAGTAAATTAAATAAATCTAGACAAGATTTACACCACTGCTGTACTCATCATTCAAACTGGAAGAAAAGTATAGACGTGTAAGATCTGTTACACAATATCAGTTTAAGCATCGCTTATGAAAACAAAAACTGATGCCTATTTTTTAATCACACTAATAGTTACCTTTAGACATTTCCTCAGCTTTCCTCAACCTTAGTTCAGTATTTTAACCTCTATTTTGTCCTAGCTTTGATGTGTAAATTTCAAAATTCTAACCCATGGGCAAAGGGGCAGACAAAATATTTCATGAAATGTAACAGCCATCAGATTTTTTTTCTCTTTTTTTACATTTCCCATTATCATCTTATATCCCTGGATCTATCCCTGATTAATTTAAGTAGACAAAAGGTGCCAGGATTTGCAGTCTGTGACATTTTATATAACTTAAAACAAGCTCCTCATTTCATTCATTCCATTTTTTTAAAATCTCAAACAGGGAAGGCAAGGACTGGCAGAGAGTAAGGAGTGCATTTCAGAAGAAACTAATGAAGCCTACAGAAATTGTCAAGCTTGACACCAAAATCAATGAGGTACTCCACCAGAATTTGCACTGTTGTCCTCCCATTCAAGTACTATAGATGAGAGAACACTCACCATGTGCAGAGGGGGACACTGTAGCCCCATCCCCTCAGTTGACATTTGTGTTGCTTTCCTGTACATGAAGCATACTCATTTTGAATGCTTCCGCATGTATTTTCAAAGCCCTGCATGTAGAAGTGTTGTACATCAGAGAGAAAGCTAGATTAGAACTTATTTCCTGAAAAGCTAACTTTCCTCATGTGGAGGATCTGTTTGTACAGGTGGAAGGGAGGCCAAAGGTCATCTAGTCTACCCCCTGTAGACCTCAGAAAACCAGCTGCAGGAGAGAGCCGTCCAAATGCTTTCCCTCACTGTCAGTTTCAAATGACTGAGTCTAGGAAGGATTGGACCATTTTATTTCAATGAGCACATAGCAATGTGTTCAGCAGGAGCTGTGTACCCATCCTTGCCTTTGGCAGTCACTGAAGTGGTGGCTAGAGATTCTGTTTTCATTGGCTCACTTACTGTTTCAATTTGATTTCCCCCCCCCCCGGCCACATGGCAACTGCAGTGATCATTGATCAATGAAGAAGAAAAAAAACACAATAGCCCAAATCAAATTCTGGGTCTAAAGGTGAATTTCCCTAGTTCTTTCCTGGCCTTTGATTTCTGTGCACCTTAAAATATTTAAATTCTCATTTCACTGAAGGCTTTTAAAAAAAAATTATGGGGACTTTCATTTTTCATCTTTGAAAGTATACAGTATACGGGCCAGGAGGGATGATCTGCTCCATTTGCCCACTTCTGGACAGTAGCAAAATGAACTGAAGACCTGTTTGTGTGTTATATTTGAATATCTGAATATGTATAAGGGACACAGCATTGTATGTATCAACTCTGCCTCTGAGTGCAGGTTGTTCTTTTACTGCTATTTTTTAAGAAGCCAAAACAGGAAGCCAAAGAAAGATTGGGACAGTGGTTTAAGGACGGGAGCTCTAACTCTTGACTCCCACAAGGTTTCGATTGAAACGGTCTGTTAATGAGCACAGAACATCTGCTGTTGACCAGCTGGTGATAGTTGGAAGGTTTTTCACATTTCAGATAGCAGGTGCGGGAGACAGGCAGTTCAAATCAGGACTAGTGTGAGAATAAAAGATAATCTACAGTGCTGATTCAGCTCCTTGCAACCTCAGCACCAGATTTTTTTTAAAAAAAGGATGCAAAGCAACGGTGAGGTAACCATCTGCCAGGAATTGTGGTTTTCTGCCAAGCTCCTTGCAACCTCAGCACCAGATTTTTAAAAAAAGGATGCAAAGCAACAGTGAGGTAACCATCTGCCAGTTATTGTGGTTTTCTGCCATCTACAGAGGGTAGACTAGATGACCTTTGGCCTCCCTTCCACCTGTACAATTCGGTCATCCTACAGTTCCAGCTAGACATTACGGGGATAGTTCTTCCTTTCCTTCCGCAGTGTCATTCCCTTCATGTCTTAGATGTAAGAAGAGACAAGATGTAGCGTTGACTGCCAACTCGGACGGATTCCAAGGGAGATTAGGCAAATTCATGGAGAGTAGGGTTCCATGGTGGTGAAATACAGCCTTCGGGACCGATGAAGGCACTACATCTTGTAGCAGCACTCTTGATGATTTAACTACATTCTCTTAGGAGGAGAACTTCCTTTCACCCACCACTTAGGTTCAGTGGGTGGTTGTAGACTCTCCCTCTCTAGATCTTTCGCACCTACCTATTTATACACACTTCTACCGTATTCCCCATTATTTGTCCTTTTTCTGAGCTAGACAGACCTGAGTATTGAAAACTTCCCATAAGAAAGTTGTTTCCCCCACACACACACTTTTTGCCCCATTTCTACAACATCCTTTTTGAATGTGAGAAACGGCTATAGTCCAAGTGTCACATGTGTAAAATGAGTAGGGTTCCATGGTGGTGAAATACAGCCTTCGGGACCGATGAAGGCACTACATCTTGTAGCAGCACTCTTGATGATTTAACTACATTCTCTTAGGAGGAGAACTTCCTTTCACCCACCACTTAGGTTCAGTGGGTGGCTGTAGGCTCTCCCTCTCTAGATCTTTCGCACCTACCTATTTATACACACTTCTACCATGTTCCCCATTATTTGTCCTTTTTCTGAGCTAGACAGACCTGAATATTGAAAACTTCCCAAAAGAAAGTTGTTTTTCCCCCACACACTTTTTGCCCCATTTCTACAAAATCCTTTTTGAATGTGAGAAACAGCCATGGTCCAAGTGTCACATGTGTAAAACAACATTGACAGTTCTAGTTTTGGTTCTCTTCCTGCATAGCCATATGAACAAGGTCTATCCTGATACTCACAAATGTTTTGATTCCCTTTACAGGTCCTGGCTGATTTCATGCATCGGGTTGACACACTTTGTAATGGGAAAGGAGAGATAGAAGACCTGTATTCCGAACTGAACAAATGGTCATTTGAAAGTAAGTTTTGCCCACAGTGCATAAGCTGAGGTCATCAGTTCTTTGCCACTGCCTCCCCGCCCCCAATAAGTGGCAGCATCTTCCCAAGGTGGAATTGGAGTGGGGATAAGGGGTTGATACCATCCTTTGCCTTGGGTGGCAAAATGCCTTGGGCAGGCCTTACTATTGCATCCAGTTTGACTTAACTTCCTAATCTTCATCCTCAAACAAAACTGGCTTTATGTGCATATTGTTGGATTTGTTCATAGTTATTTCTTCCTGTTATTCTTTTTTTTTCTTTACACCATTACCTTGTCTATATATAAGAATGGATGTTGCTTAAACAAGGACCAGGGTGGAGGGACCATATATATGGGGTGCGTGCGTGTGTGCATACAGTGGTGCCTGGACTTACGAATATCCCGACATACGACCATTTCGAGTTACAACCAGCTCCGGCTGCAAAATTTTGCTTCTTTTTGGGATCGGAGCTTTGAGTTACGATCAAAAAAAGGCAGGGAAAAAAGGCGGGGAATTCAAATTGCTACCCGTTGGTGGCGAAGAGGCTGCCTCTATGTAGCTCTTTGGTGTGCATACAGTGGTGCCTGGACTTACGAATATCCCGACATACGACCATTTCGAGTTACAACCAGCTCCGGCTGCAAAATTTTGCTTCTTTTTGGGATCGGAGCTTTGAGTTACGATCAAAAAAAGGCAGGGAAAAAAGGCGGGGAATTCAAATTGCTACCCGTTGGTGGCGAAGAGGCTGCCTCTATGTAGCTCTTTGACCCCAGCAGTTAGAGAGTGTGCGATTGGAGAAGGCTTCGGACTGCCTGATAAGGTGCTGCTTTCTACTTTTTAAAAACTCTTCTGGGTGGGTTTTGCAGCATGGTTTTGGGCTGGGTGGTGGGATTATGTTTCTATGCTGTGATGAGTCTTTCAGGGTTTGTTTGTTTTTTGGTCGGGGGTTTTCCCCATGTCCGATGGGTCTTGCACTTTTTTTTGTTTTTTGGGTTTTTTCCTTTGCATTTATTCCCCATTTCCGGTGGGTCTTGCAGGGTTTGTTTGTTTTTTGGTGGGGTTTTTTCCCCATTTCCGATGGGTCTTGCACTCTCTGTTTGCTTTTGGGTTTTTTTCCTTTGCATTTCTGATGGGTCTTGCACTCTCTGTTTGCTTTTTCGGTTTTTTTTGTTTGCATTTCTGAATGGGTCTTGCACTCTGTTTGCTTTTTGCTTTTTTTTTCTTTGCATTTCTGATGGGTCTTGCACTCTCTGTTTTTTGTTTTTGTTTTATGCATTTCCGATGGGTCTTGCAGTGTTTGTTTGCTTTTCTGGGTTTTTTCCCCTTCAGCAGGAACAGATTAATCATGTTTCCAATGGGTCTTGCAGTGTTGTTTTTTGGTTGGTTGATTTTTTGTTATTTTTTTTTCTTAAGCCAGAACAGATTGATTACATTTAAATGCATTCCTATGGGGAAAGGTGCTTCAACTTACAACCATTTGAAGTTACAACTCTAGTTCCAGAACCAATTAAGTTCATAAGTCGCGGCACCACTGTATATATACATATACATATACGTATGTATGTACACATATACATATATGCATATACACATAGATACATATATACATATATATTCCCCTCCCTTTTTTCCCCTCCTCTTCTCCCCTGCCCCTTTCCTCTTTTCACTCTGGGTTTATATGATTAGTCAGTACCATCAGTTTTTTTGGGGGGGGGGATTATTATTGCTGCTTTTAATGTTTCTAATTTTATTTTTGTTCTTTGTTTTCTACTATATGTGTTGTTACTCCTCCCAAAGTAGACTCTCAGCACTAATGGGAGCAGTATACAAAATGAATGAATGAATGAATGAATGAATGAATGAATGAATGAATGAATGAATGAATGAATGAATAGTGTGTGTGGATGCACACATTCATACATATGTATCAATTACTTTTTTTATTGATAGGTATTTGTCTGGTGCTGTATGGGAAAAGGTTTGGACTCCTGGAGCAGGACGTAGGAGATGAAGGCTTGAATTTCATCAAGGCTGTAAAAACGGTATGAATAATGTTTCATTCTGTAATCATGTTAGCCGTTGGATCCTGTACAGGAACAGAGCTATTTGCCTCATTTTGATTCAGACCTGTGGGATATCTAACTTTACTACACCAGGGTCGCGAAACCCTACACTCTGGGACTGAACATGAACCTCTGGACTCCCAGTTTGGCCCTCTTGGCTTCCACTTATGTCCACATACACACGGACACACACCATGATACCTTTGATAGGTGTTTTCTGAGATTTTATCTGGCTGTTTCACATTCATAAATGGCTCTTCTGTAGTCCATTTACTTGCAGGAAGGGGGTGTCACACTAAAGTAAATTGATACTTTTGTCCCCACCCTTTTGCCTTTGGCCCCAACCACCACTGAATTATACAGATGGAGTATTTTAGAACAATGTTCATTATGGGCACAATTCGTAGGCACCTTCCTGTATGCATTTTGTACTGACGCAAGTGTGCCACTCATGGGAACACTGCAGTCACAGGATGATGGTTGATGTCAGTGATAAGTTTTGACCACTGCAATAAGAATGAGTACTTATTGAGAATGAGTTCCACTGACTGACCTCTTTATCCATTGGTAGAAGAATTCTGTTAAGGCTAAAATGAGGGGGGAAATGCCACTAAGTAGTTGTGTATAACCCAGATCATTGATCTTCAAGTGGTGAGGTGTAACAAAGCTAGGAAAAGTTACTTCTTTGGACTATAGCTCTGAGAATCCCCAGCCAGCATGACTGCTGTGTGTTGTGGTCTAAAAAAGTGACATCTCCAAGTTTTGAGATGGAACCCACAAATAGCTCACAACCTGATGTAATTTATATTGTGCCCATGTTTATGTACTAAGATGGAATCATTCAGTAGTCATGTCAGGTTCTGAAGGCAAGAAGCTTCTATTTTTTCCTGTGTTCCATTCTTGTACTCCACTGTTGATGCTCAGCCAACAAGTCCAGAGACTAAACGATGGTTCTCTCTTATAATGAAAATATTCAACTCCTTCTCCTCTGTTCTCATTTTACATTTTGTTACATTTAAGAAAACCATTTTATCTGTTCATCTCATATTACAGATGATGGGTACATTTGGGAAGATGATGGTGACCCCAGTTGAGCTCCACAAAAGGCTGAATACTAAAGTCTGGCAGGCTCATACAAATGCATGGGACAATATATTTAAGACAGGTGAGTAGACACCTGTAGGGGCAACAACCATTTTCTGTGAAGCAAACTATTTGTATCTTAAACTTGACATCTTTTTCTTATGTCTCATTTGATGAACGTAGCTGCTACCATCTTCTAAATGGAAGGGAATTTTAACTTGACTGAACATACAATACATTCATCCTTCAGTCCTAAATTTTTCCAGTTATACTGTACTGAAGATCTTCGTTGAGTTAGGATCTTAAGCCATACTTTGCTGTAATTTATTAAATAATTTATAATCTATAGTTACTTATATATATTTAAGATCCGTTTACCATGCTTACTCTTCTTTGTCAGTGCAAGAAATTAAAGACTGTATCCCCCAACAGCTTCCTGATGACAAAAGGGATTCCACAGGAGCCTTAGGGCATTCAGGGGAGAAATCAGAAATGTTTAATCTCCAAAAAACAAAAGTTACCACAGATGATGGCATTATACAGTGTACCATACATAACAGGATTTCTGCCAGTATATCTGGAATTAACCAGCTATACTGGCTATTCACAACAATCTTGTGACATTCGTTAGGTTAAGATAACATGTGTAAACTTGGGCAAGGCATCAAACCACATAGTCACATGCAGACTTGAACCCACATCTCCCTGGTCTACATCCAACCTACCCTACAAGAGGTATCACTAGCTTCCTACACTGCTTAGCTCCTTACATACCGCATTATAAAGTGAGAAACAGACTGGCTTTTTCATGCTGTTAGTTATTGATTGTATGGATGAAGTTCACCATGAAAAAAGTGAAACAATATGGTAGAAAGGACAAGCAGGTTGAAAAAAAGGTTGATATCAGATTGCTTGGCTTCTCTACCTCCTATAGCTGACCTTTCTATGTTTAGATCTTTGATGTGACCACATTTGCATCCCACGTTTCCTTCAGGGGTGTTCAGAACAGCATATTTTTAGTTTCACAACAACCCTATGAGACAAAGCAAGCTATGAGATAGCAGGAGACCAAATAGGGTCTTCATAATTGAGCAAGGATAAGAACCATATTTTCCCCTTTCCTTCTTCTTCCTGATCTTCACAAACAAAAAGTAAGGTGGAAAGTCTATCTCTAGACCATAGTATTTCCAAATAATAAACAGATCCCAGAATCCCACATCTGGCATGGCTAGTCTATGTTAGTTGGGATTTCTGAAAGCCATCATTTTAAAAAGTATCACTTCCAAGCTTTGAGCATTTCAGATTGCACATGGACAGCGCTGGGCTAAAAATCTTCCATGAATCATCATTATCCTTTATGTAGCAAAGTTGCAAATCAGGTAGGGAAGAGATGAAATTTCAACTAGAAGTGTGGGAAAATGTGCTTTTAGACTACAATACTCAACTGCCTGGGGAATTCTAGTGCAAAAAACACAAATATGTACACAGCTCTAGTTTAAATTTAATTTTTTCCCTCCCTGACTTGCAACTTTGCTAGGCATATGATGATGATGATGGTGATAATGATTTTGCATGGAAGATTTAAAAATCAGGCCCTGTCTATGTGCAATCTTGAGTCCAAATGCACACATTTTCACATTTCTGCATGGAAGATTTAAAAATCAGGCCCTGTCCATGTGCAATCTTGAGTCCAAACGCACACATTTGCACAGTTTTTAACTATTCTCCTATGTGCCAAATAATATGAATGTTTATGGAATATCTATCTCTATATATATCTCACATACATGCTTTGATTTTCTTCCTTGCTCATTGCTGTCTCCTTTTTGTCCTTCAGCAAAATGTTCAATTGATAGCAGGCTGAAGAAACACTCTGCCAACCCCACAGAGGATTTCCTCTGTGACATTTATGTTGGGAGCCAGCTTTCCAAGAAGGAGCTGTATGCTGCCATCACGGAACTCCAGATTGCGGGAGTTGAAACGGTAAATACAAGCTCCCTTTTTCCATATTTGTAAAGAGCATTTCCCTGGCTGACAGTCATTCATCCAGAATCCAGACCTTGCTATATCCATTTAATCAAATCTCATTGACCTAACTGGGTTTTATCTAATCTAATCTAATTCAGTTCTATTCCTCTTGCCATGTAACCACCACCACCATGGGTAGGGGCTTGCAAAGACAGGTGGAGAAAGCTGCTTTACAATATCTGCAGGATCTTCCCCAGGGAATGGTAATGTTATGAAGAGAGAGCATTATGTCCTAGCCCCAAACCCTTTATGCTCCTCTCTTTTGTTCTATGAAGCATTATTATACATTCCTCTACTAAGGCAAACTTCCCCGGGGGGGGGGGGAATGGTAATGTTATGAAGAGACAGCATTTTGTCCTAGCCCCAAACCCTTTATTTTCTTCTCTTTTGTTCTATGAATCATTATTATACATTCCTCTACTAAGGCAAACTTATTTTCATAATCTACAACAGAGAGCTATGAATATATAACATACACTGTTTTCTCATCCGGAAAGATTGTTGGCTTCTTACTCATGGTAATGTAACAAAACAGAAAGAGATAACTTACTATCTGTTACCTTTTCAGACTGCCAATAGTTTACTCTGGGCTCTCTATAACATCTCCTGCTACCCGGAGGTCCAGGCAAAGCTGTTTGAAGAAATAAAGAGTGTAGTTCCAGATGGGGAGAACCCAACGGGCGAACATCTGAAGAAAATGCCCTATTTAAAGGCCTGCCTGAAAGAATCTATGAGGTAAAATACTTTGCATACCTGCAGCTCAAAAGTTGGGAAAGTGAGTTTTGAGGATAGCAGCTGTCCATGTTGACTTGGAGAATTGTGATCGGTAGGTGTGGATTTAAAAGCAAAATAAAACTTTTCCAAACTATACTGAAAATACATAATTTCTCCCTCTCCCTCTGAAGTGATTATCGTAAGCTAAAAGTTATTGTCAATGGAATGTTCGTTGTTTGCAAGAATTCCTTTCTTTGAAGTGAGAAATACTGTTAAGGTTGCTTTACAGGTGAGACTAAAGGAACATTTGACTTCAGAGCAATCTGCTAGTGACAGGAGGATTCAGCATAATTTTCCTCATGGATGCCTTCTCCTTCTCCTCTAGTAAGGCTACTTTCCCCTAGGGTTTGGAAAATCTTTTTTTAAATAGATAGTTCTATAGTCCCCAAATTTATTTTCTTACTGTTACAGATAAAGAAAGACAATCAAGTGAGAATTTAACTCCATGTTTCTCACAAGTAACTAAACTAGTTTAAGTTTTTTTTAACAAAGCTGCATTTGTAGAACGAGAAAAATTGTAAAATCTGCAAACCTGTTAAAACTTTTACTATAATGTATTTATGCTTTAATTGTTGGGGAAAGGACTTAGCAGCAAGCAACTAGCTACTTCCAGGCTGTACTTACTGCTGCACAATTCACTGGGCATACAGAGCATGGACAAGGATAGTTGTAATACTGTCATCAGCCAGTCATTGTTGTAATTGCCTGCGGTGGCCTGGAAGCATTAAGGGTACTTATAGTGGGTCTTTTCAATATTCAAGTGTCCTCACCAGTCAGTGCAAAGGAATTTTCAACAACAGCTCTCTGGGGCAGCCAGAGGATATGGTAACAATTTACTGTTTTTTTTTTTAAGCTCTAAACATTAAAGCCATTGTGGTTAATTCCATCACAAGAGTAATGATTAAGGTCTGACTGTGTGACAGTTGTGATGGAATTAATCAGTGCCCATTGTCTGTTAAAGATGTTCTTCACCCAGCACTAACACACCCTGTTCTTGTTTTTCCCAATACACCCTCCTTGCCAACAGTTGTAAACTCTTGCCCCCAGAGACACAGCCAATCCATTCATCTGACACACAAAAGCTTATGAAAAATAAAAACTAAATCAGTCTTCAAGGTACCTCCAAGACTTCTAGTTTCCTTTCTGCTACAATAAACGGAACACAGCTACTGGCTAGATTAGCTCTAAATATTGTTTGTTTTAATATTGTAAATCACCTTAGATCCTCTTGGATTGAAAGATGGGGTACAAACGATAAAAATGAATTAATGCCAGCTGTTGACGCCAACCAGCTGCCTATTTTATACTCTCTGTTAATATTATGTGCTTCATTGATTGCCCTGCACAAACAGTAAAGTTGGTTATTCCTTTTGTTTTAGAATAACACCATCCGTGCCATTCACAACCCGGACACTTGACAAAGAAACAGTGATTGGAAATTATACCCTTCCTAAAGGGGTAAGTATAACTCCCACTGACAATAAACTTCCAATTTGTGTAGCCCCCTTTCTAATGGTTTTTACTCATTGGAGGATCAGGGATTCTTCTTACGAAGAAAAACATTTTTTGTGACGGTTGTTGTGGGTTTTTCGGGCTCTTTGGCCGTGTTCTGAAGATTGTTCTTCCTAACGTTTCACCAGTCTCTGTGGCCGGCATCTTCAGAAGACAGCACTCTGTGCTCTGGTGTTGTTGTCTTGGAAGTGGAGAATTTATGGCTGTGAGATGGGCTTTTGTCTTTTTCTGTAGATGGGTGATTAGTGTGTATTTTTGGTGACATTTGTGTGGCCAGGCTGTCATTTGATTGGCTTGGTGCCCGGCCCACTTTTTGCAGTCCTTCAGTGGTGTGAGATGAGCATAGAGCAGCAGTTCTACAATCACTTTCAAACAACCACACTTCACACATCACAACCATAGCCATCTTTTCAGGATAGTGTGGCACCAGAGTTCTTGGACTGAGCCCCCACTGGGACACTATGAAGCGCAGAATTAAGCAGCGTGTGAGTGCTATAAAGCCGCTATAGCAATTTGGAGTACTATACATGTGGAACGGGGTGGGGGATGGGCTTAGATCCTCAAGGTAATTTACAATTTGATCAGTTTTTGTTTTTTTGAAAGAGAGAAGTACTTGAGCACTGTCTTGTTTGGAAAAACAAACAAATCAAAAAAGTTTACTGTCTTTTTTTCCTGACATGGCTCCTGTGCCTCTGATACTGATAGGAAGAAATTCAGCCAATGTAGATTTTTCTCATGTGGGGAGAAATATCATGGAAAGAGAAACAGGAACTGTTGGATCCTTCCCTTTTGTGCCACATTAAAGGCACAACATGGTAGCTGGATGGAGGAAAGGCCTCTCTTAAGTTCCTTCATCTAAATTCAGATTGCAGGAATTCTGCAATTACTTAAATGGTACATTGTTTTTGGATAGACTATAACTTCATATGCTGCAGTTGTGAGTGTTGGCATTAAAAATGGGTTGCATACCAATGCCTGTTGAGACCTGGGTTAGATCAAGCTCTGTTTATTTGGAAGCATTCATGGTCCTTAAAATATCTGCCAAGAAAAAAAAATACTTTCCTTTTTCCTCTCACTGAGCTCGGAGGAAATTTATTTGACAAGGTTAAGCCTGCATCTTTTCAGGGCTGTAACTAGAGTGGAGAAACTGGTAATATGCCCCAAGGCACAAGAAGTGAAAGGGCACCAAAAGTTAGAGGAGAATCTGAGTTTTAGAGAAATAAACTGTTACGCTTTCTGGTCCACTTCAGTGTCCTTTTAAAAAAAAGCACGAAGTTTCTCTTTATTTGGGGATATCCCACATTCACCTCCCCCATTTTCAAGATGTATGTCTTAGGATAAGGTAGAGAGGTATGTCTCAAGAACCATTCCTCCAGTGTCTAATGGGCTAGTTATGGCTCTGTTCTTTTTGCTTGTTTTTCTCAGAAATATTTTTGTTTAAAAAAAAATCCCACTCCAGAATTCTTTCAGGAATCTTTAGGACAGCTGTGCATCAGTAAACTGTTGCTCTCTTTTCTGCCACCTGCGAACCATAGCAGCCTGTGATACAACATTCCCATCCTTACAGAGAAAATTGCCTTTCCTTACTCTGCAGCCCTTTTTTCCATTAACATAATAGGATTTGCTATTCCATCTTCATCAACTGCATCCAACTGACTTTCCCTCCCTGTGCTATTTGTGTGTGTTTACAGACAGTGTTGATGATCAACAGCCATGCTTTGGGGTGCAATGAAGAATATTTCAGCGACTGGAGTCAATTCAAGCCAGAACGTTGGCTTCAGAAGAACATCAATCCTTTTACTCACGTCCCCTTTGGCATCGGGAAAAGAATGTGCATTGGACGCCGTTTGGCAGAGTTGCAGCTACAATTAGCTCTCTGTTGGGTACGCTTGTAGTTACAATATTTCCCTTCCTCCAGCTTTATTTTAATAACTGTAATTCTCAATTTCATTTTGAAAATGATAAATGCCACTTAGCTTTTTTTGTCCTTACATGTAGAATTTTATTTGAGTCAATTCAGAGTACAGTGGTAATTATAACCAATGGTTAGGGTTTCGAAAGCTGCAAAATAAAGATCATTAGGAATAGCAGGAGAAGGGCAAGGCTCAGCAATCCTGGGCCTTATATGTTTCTACCATTTCCAATGGGGCTCCAAGTTCCAGTTGCCTTTTGCTGAGACAGATCATTGATCCATTTAGCTCAGCATTGCCAACTCTTGACTGTCAGTCACTTTCAGTGCCACCCATCTAGACATAGTCTACTCTGCATTGCCAACTCTTGACTGGCAGTCACTTTCATACATGTCAGATGAGATTAGAATTCTTTTGTAGCCACATCTGGAGATCCCTGGTGGTCAATTGTCCAAACACTACTAAGACCGAACTCTGTTTAGCATCTGAAGTTGAGATCCCATATGGTCTGGTGATCTCATGAAAGCTTATGGTTCCGTTTTACATTAACCACAGTTTGCTAAGTTGTCCAAATCCAGGAAACGATGGTTAAGATTAACTACAGTGTGGGTCGGGTATTGGGCAACTTCGACAGGCTTTGAAACTTGTTTTTCAGCCCACTGGGCAGATTCCAAGGATTACCTCTGGTCCAGGCTAAACCTTGATTGAAAGTTGGAAAGGTCTCAAAAAAAACCCTCCTTCCTGCAGAGGCTGATTAGGACAGAGCTAACTCGTTGCTTCCTCTTTATCATCTTTGCATTACAGCTCATACGGAAGTATCAGGTTGTAGCGACTGATAACAAGCCAGTAGAAACTCTGCACTTAGGAATACTCATCCCCAACCGAGAAGTTCCCATTGCATTCAGGAGACGTTAAGGTAAGAAGAAACGCAGACCAAAAAGTACCTTCTTAAAGTTCTGGGCTGTGATGATCCCAGAAAATGATGATCAAATGATTAAGATGATTCCTTTTGTAGCCGCGAAGGCATTCACGGCCGGGATCTAATGGTTGTTGTGGGTTTTTCAGGCTCTTTGCCCATGTTCTGAAGGTTGTTCTTCCTAACGTTTCGCCACTCTCTGTGAACGGCATCTTCAGAAGATGCCAGCCACAGAGACTGGCGAAACGTTAGGAAAAAACAACCTCCAGAACACGGCCAAAGAGCCCGAAAAACCCACTACAACCATGATTCCTTTTGTTGGCACAGTTTGTGCTGAAGAAACCATAGCAGCTTTTACATTTCACTTGGGAGCTGCTTGGAGGAAGAATGCTTACTAATTCAAATACTGGCATCTACTTTATCAAAGAGACTGGCCCAGTAGATTTTTCCTGCCCCACTCTTTTTCTATAGCATTGTGAACTACCGTGATGGGCAATGTATGGCCCCTTGTCACAAATCAGAATATTAACCTGTGCAATGTCTGACTGCTGGATAGCTCACTGGTTTAGTTTCTTGACTTTGGAGCCAGAGGTTAGGAGTTTGATTCCCCACTGTGCCTGCATGACAGGGGCTGGACTTGATGACCCACAGGGTCCCTTCCAGCTCTGCAGTTCTAAGATGATGGTGATTATAGCTCTTTGTGTGTTTTCAAAATAAGTTTCTAGTCTCTGTGAGTACAGAGAATGCTTTTTTAAAAAATTAACTAAAAGGCAGATAAGCAAAGATAAAGCTGCCCTTCACACTGTACCTCAGAAGTATACACAGTAGAGATGGGTACGAGCCACAGGTTGAGCAATTCGGTGTGGTTCATTTCCTGGCCAAACAACTGATCCATGGTTCGGTCCCCAGCCCCATCCAGTGGGTGCCAATCCTGCAGCAACACCTGGAGGAGTTAGGGCAGGGTGCTGCTGCTACTGATTGGGTGCCCACTGGAGGGGGCAAGGCGCCAAACTGGGGATCAGCTGTTCAGCCAGGAAACGAACTACGCCAAACCGGCAGTTCATTATCATCTCTAATGGACAAACTATTGACTTGTCCAGATGGAGCACTTGTTGCCTTATATACACCTGATTGATAAGCTGATATTGATACATTGGCAATTTAATAAAGGGTGTCCATAGGTACCCACAGTGACAAAGGGTGTCAAAAACCCTGGCTTTGAAATTGTTGGTGTTAAATAAATAAATAAATGAATAAATAAAAACCCTGGCTTTGAAATTGTTGATATTTGGTTTGGTTTAGTTTAAAATCTAGCTCCTCTGTGTGCTTTACTTTAAGAAACTGGATTTTTGGAAGAAGTTTGGAGAGGAATTTCAGTGAACTCCATATTCATTCAGCACCGGGCAACAGAGGGAGAAGAAACAAAGGCTTAGTTTGGATGGTCCATATGCTAACTCCATGCATCAGGACCATGCTCCATTTCCAGTGTTGACTTTCATAGCGTCCAGCTCTAAATGCAACACTACACTACCTGTAATTCTTGCTAATTTAGACATTTCCCCATTGAACATGAAATTCACAGCACAGTGCTGTGCATGTCTACTCAAGAGTAAGCCTGAATGGCTTTTCAGGAGTCCACTTGGAAACAAGATTCCATTCAACAGCCTCCCAGGCCACAAACTAAAGTTCAGTTCCATCCAGCCGGTCCCTGAGCTTTAAATAGCTTCTTTCTTTTCTCCAAGCCATTGATCAGAGATGGAAGAAGCTTCCAGCCAGGATGGTGATTTAAGCCTCCATGGACCAAATCAGGCTGCGAACTGGAGTCTCACTGTTGCTGCATCACAGTATAAATCCCTTTGGTTTCACCAATACAATCCCAGAGATGCAGATATTTAAAAACAACAACTTTAAAACAGGGTGTTTTAAAGATGGTCTGCTTATTCTGAGTTTAAATTGATTTTTCCCCATACGAGATTGCTTTTATGATTCCATTCTTCAAAATCCAAAAAAATAAATAAATCCATAGACATTTTAATAAATAGATTGGATAACAGCATCGCCATCTGATCTTCCCGAGAACTACAGAATTAATAGATGCTCTGTTTGCTTTGGCAGTTACTTCTGAAGGAATCGGGTGGCTTCTTGGCTGCTACTTTTTTTCCCCCGCGGACAACAAACACCTTTGAATGTCGGAAGCTTCGACCTCCAGGCATGCTCTGAGCACTAATGAGTGGAACATCCGAAGCTAGTTCTGACTTTGCTTTGGAAGCCAATCTGTGGTTAGTGCACCTGAAAAATTTCATAACGAATGCTGAAACAGACCTTGCCTGTATGAAGAGGAAGGTTGGCAGGGCTCAAAAAGACGGGGAGAAGACCAGGAATCTTTTCATGCAGGTCTAACAAAAATCTGTTTCTGTTCACCTGCCAACATGCAATCCATCAGCTGCTGCTCAGGAGACATCCCTCCTGTTACAGTGCTGCAATTCTTTAAGTTCCATGTCACAATGTAGGGCATGGGAGCAAGGAAGATGAGTTTTGTTGCCTTACTCCCAAATTTTCATGAGCCTGCATGTTTTTTTGTGCAATGATTTCTATGCAGGGCTGGCTTATTATTTATGCAGTCTCTCTTTCCAGGGAGATCAGTATGAGTGGGGAAATGGAGCATTCTCTAAGGGTTATTGTGTTTAGATTTTTAAAAAAATAATAATGGGGGAGCAAGCAACAGTGAACACCACCGATCTGTCTGTCATCGCTGAGAACCCGGGTACAACTACGTGTAAATATTTGCCAATGTACCATGTAGAACCCTGCATCCTAAGGGTTCAACATTGGAAATGCTGCTGGGATAATCCAGTTTTAATGGATGTGCATGTATTCTCCCCATTACTACCACCAGCAGTTGTAATGCAGTCTTTGGCAGACAACACAGCAGGGAGAACCGGAATGGAGAATATTTAACTTATTGGACTTCAGCTCCCAGAAACTGTAGCCACCCTTTCCAGCAGTAAAAGATTGTAAGAGTTGTAGTCTAGGAATCTGGAAGGTTAATGTTGCCCACCCCTGAAGTAGACTGTAAATATTGTATATAGTTTACCAGTATTTTTGCCCATTTCTGTATATTAAAAAGACAATGTTTCCCTTTTTTTAATGGTTGTATTTTTTACATGAATTGTTATTTTATACATTTGAAAATATTTGTAGAAGCCTTTTAAAAGACAGTTGAGTCCTGCATACTTTGGAGAACTGTTGACGACCCTATGTACTCAATTTCTTATTTTTGGAAAAAGTTTAAATTTCTGTTGTTGATGCCTTCTGATAATTTTGTAATAAAATTATAATAAGAACAGAATTTTCTGATATGGTGTCTCCTTTCATTCGACACATCTGTGCCCTGCATCTCTTTTGAAAACCAGCATCTATTGGGGAGGGGGGGGAGGAGAGCAATTTCTATGCAAGGAGTTCATTGTATTCCACACACACACACACCAGCTTTGGAGACGAGCAGCCACTTCGAAAATGTAGCATTCCTGTCTTCCATTCAGTAGGGCTTCTAAAAAATCAAAAAACAAATGGGGTATGTTTTTAATTAGCAGTGGTTCCCAACCCTGGGTCCACAGATCTTCCTGGACCACAACTCCCAGATATCCTGGCCGGTACAGCTAGTGGTGAAGGCTTCTGGGAGTTTTAGTCCAGGAAGATCTGGGGACCCAATTTTGGGAACCCCTAAATTAGAGCAAGAATTGCTTATCAAGTTCACTTGCTCCCAGAGGCTGCTTCAAAGTTATCCCAACTGATGCTTACATAGCGATAATTTTCTTCACTACTACCATGTCAGTCTCTTATCACAATGCTCTAAGGTAAAAACTCTATTTCCCCTACCTTAACATACATGATTCCTCTGCTAACGTCTTCCATTCTTTCCCCTCTTGAGGTTAACTGCATCTTCAACTCAATCCACCCCTCTCTCTCTTCTCTCTCTCTCAATCTCTCTCCCCCCCCCGCCCCACCACCACCTCTAATCTCTGCTCAAACCTGGTGTCTCTTCCCTGTTTCCCTTAAGTATTTTGACAACAGGACTATAAAACAAACATAGGGCTAATTACTGCATGCAACCAATAAACATTTAGAATGTGAAACTGATTTTTTTAATACATTTCATTCTGTCTCTTAATGTCTGATGAAGTGGACGTGTCCACTAAAGCTTACATTAAAATATAATGGTTAGTCTTTAAGGTACCACATATTTTTGTGGGGTTTTTTTTGTTTGTTTGTTTCTTCAGATTTTCCCTGATATGCTTACATAGCAATGTAACTATATGCTCTCTAAGCTATAAAAATGAAAAATCAAGGTGAAGAAAAGAATAAGCATTGCTAGACAGTGGATCGTTGCTATGGAAGCATTTATCAGCCAGCGTGATTTCCCTCCGCTTGCTCTGGTCAAACTAAACCACTTCAAGAACACAATAAATCATTGCTGAGTGATAGGATACAGTTCCAGGATAAAAAGTCTAGATAAAAGAACATCGTTCTTTACATAGGCATTACCCCCTAATTAGTTTACTCAAGCAAATGTTCCAGTATTCAAATGTTTAAAGTGCCATTAGAAGAAAAGCAGGAACCTGATGCTGGCCCTTGTGCAATTATTGGGCCACAAGCAACCATTTTGAATGGCAGGTAAAATTAGCTAACACCCCATTAGAATGAACAACTGGGATCAGGTGCAAAAGGAATCTCCACCCTTGGCAGAAGCATTCATGGGCAGGTTGCCAGCTAGCTATCCTTTTCTTCGGATGCTAAGGGATTAATCGAATTCCACTTTCTTTTCTGACTCCTACTTAAGGTGAACTTTTTTGTTGTTGTTTAGTTAAGTCGTGTCCGACTTTTCGTGACCCCATGGACCAGAGCACGCCAGGCCCTCCTGTCTTCCACTGCCTCCCGGAGTTGGGTCAAATTCATGTTGGTCGCTTCGATGACACTGTCCAACCATCTCATCCTCTGTCGTCCCCTTCTCATTTTGCCTTCACACTTTCCCAACATCAGGGTCTTTCCCAGGGAGTCTTCTCTTCTCATGAGATGGCCAAAGTATTGGAGCCTCAGCTTCAGGATCAGTCCTTCCAGTGAGTGGTGAACCTAGACTGTGCTTTTATAGCTTTTTGATGGCACTTTTTGATGGCACTTTAGCTGCCAGAGTTGCATCACGCACAAAATCTTTGGATTTGTCATTTCGTGAGGTACTTGCAAATCCCTACTAAAGAGTTCTACATGGTGTTGAATTACAGCGCTATAGCTCTCTACTTGAGAAAATTAAAGCACCTCACTCAACTACAGATCCCAAGAGTCCACTAAGTTGAAGTGGTAATACACAGATTCCACAAGACGTAGTACCAGTTAAACGGGTACCAAACTGCTCACATAGCCACACCGACTGGGTGACAGAACTCTGGCAGATGTCAACAGCAAAAATAAGTTTCCCAGGCTCTGAATAAATAAAAGAAATTGGACTAGGATGACATAACTATTGAATAGCTCACTAGTTTAGTTATCTGGCTGCAGAGGTGGGGAGTTTGATTCCCCACTGTATCTCCTTGATAGGGGCTGGACCTAATTATCCATAAGATACTTTCTAGCTCTGAAATTCTGAAATTATATTATTGTGGTATATTGTATAACTTTAGAGCTGTCCCAAATATTAACTGTTAGAGCAATGTGTTAGCAGCATCGTGCTGTTATTATTAAAAAGTTTTTACATAAGATGTTTTCAAGATTTGTAAACTCTCTTGTGTGAACTCCTGAAATGCATATTTTACAGCACAGGTAGGTACTTGCCTTATTCCTTAAGATAACCATCTCACATTAATCATCTAAGTGTGTTATGGTTATTTGGAACAAAAGCCAAGTTGGTGATATAAAAGATAAATAAACAATCATATTAACACTTGTAAAAACAACTTCCAAATTTAAATTTTGTCTGCTCTCAAAATGTCTCTCTGAGATAAGAAGCTAGTGAGTAATTGGAATCATCCTGTTATGATCTGTTTTTATTGTTGGTTCACAGACAAAAATTGTATAAAATTGGGGGGGTTTCTATTAAAATGGCACTTGTTTTTAATCAGATGTTTGTGTTCTTACAACCTTTTTGATTTTCTATAAATTAAAATACATCTTTACTGGCAGAAAAAGGTATTTTAAATGCTGTCATACTTTTATTTTGCTTTTTAAGATCACATTTTTGAGGTGGAGCGTTGTGTATGTTAGCATATATATAAGAAACCACCAGCCTGTGGCCCAACTAAAGTCCTTCATCAAATTATAAATCCAAGGACTCGTTGGGATGGCGCTATGCCAGTTAAAGCAATTTGAAAATGATATTACTCTATAGTACAGCTACAATGGAGCAGAGGTAGTCACCCGGATTCAATCCAGTATTAATGTTTGTGGAATGTTGTGTCTTGTTAGTATTCAAATTTTAACTGCACTCCTAAATATATTTTGGGGAGTAAATCCCTTGAACACCCCTGAATTTTTGAAAAAAAATGGGCTTAAAACGATACAATTATATTTGGCAGGGATAAGGATCTTCTGATCTTCCAGTTATTACTGGACTCCAGCTCATATCAGCTCCAGCCACCATGGAGTCAAGGTCCAAGGTCAGGGGAGACAACATCTCCGCTGACCTTGACTCCCCAATAGTCAAGGTCAGGGAAGATGTTGTCTAGCAACATATAGACAATTCAGTGCACCCACACTATGCCCACTTAAGTGCATATTCAGCGACACCTATTTTTGCCAGGCATAGTATTGCTCTGAAAATTATGCTCTTCATGACTGTGGGTATGTCAGGATCTGGGTGGCGGTAGGTCTTTCCCTGCACCACCACCCTGGCAGTTGCCGGATCGGGGCCAGCTTGGTCCCAGGAAGAGCCAGCATTTGCAGGATCAAGTCTTGCCAGGGCAGCAGCTGCCAGGGCTGTCATGCAGTCTACCAGGGAGGGAAGGTCTACTTAAGGAAGGACCCTTCCTCTCAGAAGCTGCCTCAGCAACATAGGACTATAGTGCTCCTGCTCCAGTTTCTGGTCCTGCTCTGAGCCCTGGTATTCCTGACCCTGCATTCCTGCTCAGTGTTCCCACTCCTGCAATCCCAGTTCCAATCCCTGAGCTCCGGTTTCTGCTCCTCTGCTCCTATCCTGGCTAGTTGGTCCATGTGTAAGTTTGGGGATGGCACACTGTGCTGTTGTCTGGGTCCTGGTGCCCTTGCCCCCACTGTTGAAGGCAGCTTTGCACAACCTGGACCTTGGAAGAATATTAGAATAGATCATTATTACTGCTAAATAGGTACATCTTGGTTTTACAGCACATAACCTTCCTTATATGCCCCGGAAGAAGGCTGTTCTCCTTTCTCCTCAACAACCTGATATGGGGCAAGATTTGTGCTAACTAGAGACAATAAAACTGGATTATGCTTAACCAGTAGCAATTGTTTTAAAAAAATCAGTGAAATGATTTCAGCTTTCCAAACCTGCCCTTCCCTCCAGCTGTGTCTGAGTTGTTTTTCATTGCTAAGAGTTACTTCAGAAGAATCCCCAAGATGAAATATGCAATGTGTCAAAAACCAGCAGCCAGTTGTTTTTGCATATCTGCCGTTCTAATAGGTCCTGACACATGTTGCTCTAAAGCAGTGCTTCCCAACCTTGGGTGCTCAGATGTTCTTGGAATGCAACTCCCAGAAACCTCAGCCAGTACCACTAGCGGTGAAGGCTTCTGGGAGTTGCAGTCCAAGAACACCTGGGTTACCAAGCTTGGGACCCCATTGCTCTAAAGCAAAGGTAGACATCCCAGAGCCCATCAGGGATTTCCTGCTGCAGCTCCCTAAAGCCTCAGCCAGAATGGACAATAGTTAGGAATCAAGGGAGTTGTAGTCCAAAAACTGGATGGCACCCAGATTCCTTGGTCCTGCCCAGAGAGATATGCTCTAGCGATTTTTGCATATTAAGGAAACTTTCCGTTGCCCCTAAGCATGCTAATATTTCCCATTTGTTTCACAGTGGCCCTATTTTAGCTTCATGTCTGCTGACATCCACCAGCTGAGTTTGCTATTAAAGGGTGTGAACTCCCAGTTCTTTAATTTCCAAACAGTTTCTGTTAGCACTAAATCCTGAGAAACTTCTTTTCACCTAAATTGAATTTCAGAGGTGTTCTTGAGTGCAAGAATCCAATGGCTGGAAAACAAGGCAAAATGAAAAAAAAGGACAGGACCTAAAATATGAGCACCTTTTAGCTTTACTTTTAGCCAGTAACTAAGGAGAAGTCTCTCAACCTTCTCCTTGGTCTATAAATCAGTGAGT